GCCAATGCCTTTTTTCCATTTTCTTCATTTATCTCTTTTCTCCCACTTTGGAGTTAGGTATTAAAGATTGTGACATTTAAAGAAACTGCATATACAGGGAAAATCAGACCATGTATGTTAAGGGAAAGACTTAAGGTTCAGAAAAGACCTCAGCAAATCTGATCCTGGGCACTGAAACAGCCCATGATAATAACAACAATAAACAACAAACAAACAAACAAAAACCTCACAGTAAACCCTGAGGGAAAGGGAAGAATCTGATATTCAGTTACATTATCAGATTCAAATGTTCAAATGTCTAGTTTTCAATGACAAAATCACAAGGCACACAAAGAGACAGATAAGTATTACCCATTCAAAGGTAAAAAGTGAATCAACAGAACTGTCCCCGAGAAAGACCTGATTGCAAATATACTAGACAAAAATTTAAAATGACTCCATTAAAAAATGCTCAGAGAACTAATGGACAAAGTCAAAAAAATGATATTTGAGCAAAACAAATACCAATAAAGAGACAGAAAACCTACGCTGCACATGGTGGCAGATGCCTATAACCTCAGAGGCTTAGACAGGAGGATCATGAATTCAAAGTCGGCCTCAGCGACCGCAAGGAGCTAAGCAACTCAGTGAGACCCTGTCTCTAAATAAAATACAAAATAGGGCTGGGGATGTGGTCCAGTGGTTGCATGCCCTCGAGTTCAATCCTGGTATTCTCCCCCACTCTTGCGCCTCCCAAAAAAGAGAAAAACAGGAATTTTGGAGCTGAAAAGTACAATAACTCTAATGAAAACTTCATTAGAGGAATTCAAAGGCAGCTTTGAGTTGGTAGAAGAAAGAACCAGTGAACAATAGGACAACTAAAATTACTGAATTTGAGGAATAGAAAGAAAAAACTAATTGAAGAAAAGTGAACAGAGTAAAGGGATCTGCAGAACAGCATCAAGCAGACCAACTCATCCAATGTAGGAGTCACGGAAGGATGAGAGACAGAGGGAAAGGGATAGAGAATGTTTCTTTTTAATAATGGCTGAAAACTGGGCTGGGGTGTGGCTCCTCGGTAGAGCGCTCGCTTAGCATGTAGTCCTGGGTTCAATCTTCAGCATAAAAATAAATAAAGGTATTGTGTCCAACTACAACTAATAAATAAATATTAAAAAAAAATAATGGCCAAAAACTCCCCAAATTTGATGAAAGACACGAATAAAAACATCTAAGTTCAAGGAATTCTAATTAAAAAAGCTGTAAACCAAGAATGACATACCTGACAAAACTGTCCTTCAAAAAAGGGAGAAATTAACCCAGTTCCAGATAAAGAAAAGCCCAGGGGAGTTCCTTACTACTAGATCTGTGCTGCAAGAAATGTTCAAGCAATTCCTGCAAAAAGAAAGAAGAAACATCACAGAGAGTAACTCTAAGGCGATTTGAAGAATGAAAGATCTCAAGAATGGTGAATACACAAAAAAAATTGTAAAAGTTAATATTACTCTAACTTAGGTTTGTATCTCTATATTTTGTTTTCTACATAATTTAAGAGACTGATGCATTTAAAAGAATTATTAGGTTATGCCCAGCACGGTGGTACAAGCCTGTAATCCTAGTGGCTCAGGAGGCTAAGGCAGGAGGATGGCAAGTTCAAAGCCAACCTCAGCAAAAGTGAGGTGTTAAGCAATTCAAGGAAGACCCTGTCTCTAATAAAATACAAAACAGGGCTTTCCACAGGTACTGGAGACCTTCAGGGACAAAGGACCACAGTAGAACACTAGAGGTAGCCAGAAAACCTGAAGCAATAGGCTGAGAAAACACTGCACACAACGGGAGCAGAATTTTTCTTGAGAACAAAGAATTCATTTCCTAGGGACTTCTAGAAATATTTAAGGGGACATTATTTTAATGAGTCAAAGGTGCAATATTCTATAGGTAATCTATATGCCTGTGAAATGTTCATCTCTATTACCATGACACCATTTCACCTTGAAATTCATGAGTCTGAGGTAAATTCAGCGTATATTTATATAATGTGCCTTAAGCGAAGATATTTAAGATATAAATCCTCCAAAGATTAAACATGACTTAGACTTTCCGTACCAACTGAGGGTTTTTATCAAGCCCTCTAATGCATGTGATGGTATTTACCCCCAAAATAAATGGTCCTATTGAGAAAAACCAAAACCAAAACCAAAAACAAAATAGGGCTTGGGATGTGGCTCAGTGGATAAGTGCCCCTGAGTTCAATCCCTGGTCCAAAAAAAAAACCCAAAAAGAATTATTATGTTCTGGGGCATATTGATGTACAAGTATAAGCTTGTGACAACAATGACCAAAAAATGGGGTATGAAAGCAGAATTTTTTGTATGTTATAGAATTTAAGCAGGCATAAATTCAAATTAGAATTGTAATTTTAGGATGTAAAATGTACCCCCCCCATGATAACCATGTATAAAGCTTTTGAATAAAAAGAAAAAGTATTTAAGCATTTCACTACCAAACAAACAAACGAACAAAAACAACAAAACTAAACACCAAAGATACTAATGCAAAAAATGAGAGGCAACACTGACATATAGGAAACAAACAATAAATGACAGAAGTTCCCATATATTGGTAAACACTTTAAACACAAATAGATTAAATTCTCTAATCAATACAAGAGACTGAGAATAGATTTTAATAATATGATCCAATATGCTGTTCAGATTCACTTTAGATCCAAATAAATAGATTGAAAGTGAAAGATGGAAAAATAAGCCTTAAATAAAAAATGGTTACTAGAGACAAAATTCATTCTATATTACTAAAAGGTTTAACATAGTAAGACATTATAATGGTTATAAACATAAAAACTGAACACTCAAATACATAAATCAAAAGCTGATTAAGTCTCCACAGATTTTGAAAACAGGTATCATACAAAGTATCTCCACTATAACAGTACAGAGCTAGAAATCAGTAACAGAGGAAAACCAGAAAA